AGTACTTACCTGGGGTCTCTAATTGTTCATATTCAGTATGGTCTAATATGTGAATAATCTAGTATTTATCTTATGACCTGCCTGTAGAAACATATAGATATAAACTGTGTCTATGTATGCACCTATTTGTTGATACCTCAGTTTTCAGCTTTTTACAGTTAAAAACCTTTGTAATAGCAGGGACTTTGGCCATGGGAGTGGCTTTACATAGGATAAAACTGCCCTCATCCATTTTCAACAAGCAAATGCATTTGAGGAAGAGACAGTCCTTTGATTATACCCAATATAGACAACGTCTGTAGTTTGAACAATTAAGGATGGCAGCCACTGTTATCTTGAAGTGGTGAAGAGATAAGAAATGGAAATCTTCCTCTTTGCCTCTTTTTCTCTCCAGCTCTCGTCAAATCCTGTCTCAAAGTTCAATTAAGCCAGAGTCATAACTAAGGATATAGCAGAGAGAGACTCCAAATGGAATAATTGTTGCCACTTGTGAGATTTAATAGCTTCACCTCAGTCATCACAACCAACATCCAGCAGAAGGATGGGGCTGGGACCCACAGAATATAAGGAAAAATGTGTGGCTTGAGGAAAAGTAAGTAGTGCTTCTATTTCCATCTTCTACAGAAGAAATGAGAGGAAATCAAGCTCTTTAGAAAGAAGGAAATTGAATGCTTGGCTCCTATAATACCAAAAAAAATAATGAGATAATGTCTCACCCTCTACTTATCTAAGGCACTCCCTCTGGTAAAAGCAAGGGGCCATATTCAATAACGCCTTAATATCAATTCCACATATTGTCTAGAAACTGTAGGAACAGAGAGTGATCACCCTGTTTGTTATTAAGCCAAGAAACTTACTCATGAAGAGCCAAGTCTGAAGTGGCTCTGGGCCCCCCATCTATGTTTCACTGTGTGTACTGTGCTTTACCACTTCAGTCTCTGCACGCAGGTGCAATACCCAGATTCTGCTAAATATAGAGCACAATTGGTTAAATAAGCACACGTGTCTTATGGGCAATAAACCATACTATTAATTAAAATAATTACTGATAAAATGGTGTAAGCCTTTAGGTTTAGAAGACTGTGCCACTTGGAAGAGCCAATTAGATGCCTGGGAGGCCAATTTCGGAAGTTTTGGGGGGAGAGGAAGAAAATGGCAGGTACCAACCAGAATGTAAAGGATATGGCCATTTTTGTGAGTTTTAGGAGAAAGACGTGCCCTAAAATGTAAAAAATAGCTTCTATTTCATAAAGCGCTAGGTTCGCTGGCTGAACCTTTCGTTCAGCCAAAAATCTTTCTTTCGTTCGGTGCTACCTCATCCTTCTGGACCCAGAGAGTGTTCTCCACGCAAACCTCTCCTCCACAGTTAAATTCACCCTCTGCTCCAGACAGCTTTTCTACCTACTGCTCTATAATAGCGGCTGGAAGAACTTTATCCATCACCCTGTATTATTAGATACCAGACTTCCGGGACTAAGGACAGTGTCTGTTTCAAGTATTAGTAGATCCTGGCTAACAAGGAGTGGCCGTTGGATACAAGTTCCCACAGCTAAAAGGGCTGACTAAAAACAGCTCCAGGTCCCTTGGCCCAGGTGCCTGTCATCACTGTGGGCAGGGTGACCTCTGAGCGACCCTCCGGGACAGGATGGATGCCAGGGGCTTCATACCTTCCTCTCACCACGCAGCGTAGTCCACCTGATTCGTTGGAGGACCCTGAGTGATATTCATTTCAGGGCCGGCAATGCGACCAAGGCGCGGAGCACAGGTGGGACCTCTGGAAACTTCCCAGCCCCGAGGGGCTCTCAGTTCGGCCTCAGCGACACCAACATCCTCCCGCCCCTCCCGTAGTCGAGTTGAGTCCTCCTCCCCTTCCCAGCGCCCCTTCCTAGTCCAAGACCTCTCCAAATTTGAGAGCACTTCTCGGTCCCAGTGCCCTTCCCAGGGGGCTCTTTCCCCTCCCTGAGCTCCTTTCCGCGTTTCTTGACCTACTCCCGAGCTCCCGTCCGTAACCCTCATCCCAGTCCAAGCCCCTCTTCACAGTGGGAGCTCCCTGCCCTCAACGGAAGTCTGACCTGAGCTCAGCTCCTCAGAAGCGTCCGCGGCCAGCGCCCGCAAGCCAAGTGCAGCGGCAGGTGGCGGAGCAGGTGCAGGAGCCGGCGGCCAGCTGTGGGCCCCGCCCGCGGAAGTGGGCTCTCTCCACCTTTGATCGCCCTTCCCCGCACCTGCCAGCTCAAAGGACCTGCAGTCGCCGGAACTGCACTTCCCTCGGTTCCTTCTTACCATCTGGTCCGAAGGTATTCCCTAAGGTGTTTCACCAGGAGCGGGTTCCTGGGAGGACTGTGTCCGACTGTAACCTTCTACAAGGCAAAAGAATCACAAAGCCTGAGACACAGCGAGAACTCAGCGGGTATGGAAGCCAGCTTCCCAGGACAAGCAACCACTGCAAACACACTGGAAGCCAGAATCAAGTTTCTTTTTCTGGGTAAAACTTGATAGTTAACTTTTGAGTGTCACATAGTTCGCTCTTTCATTCACTCCATTCATTAATTCATTCAACAAATCTGCCACGTGCTCATCTAACAACAAATCTGACAGACGGACACAGTTCTGTGTGCTCCAAGGGGACAGAGTTTCTGCCCTGGGAGGAGCTTGCTTTCTACGAAGGTAAGCACGACTTTCTTTGTAGTTATAAGATGCTGCGAATCTTTGTAGCATCTGGAACTAAGAGATTAACCTCCCTCTGCAACACTCTGCTGCTCCTCCCCTCCTGAGGACATAAAAGAATGAGAGAGCTAAGTCTCTATCTCACACCAACGGATAAGTCCCTCTGGGAGGAATGCTAGTAGAGGTCTATTAAAAACTTCTCAGGTGATACTAAAAAGTCAGGGTCCAGAACCACAGATCTAGAGTTCTAAAATGCCTTCCAGTTTATTCCATTGTTGAGGGCTTTGTGGAAACTAATGTTTGTGTTTTGTTTGTAGAGCAAGGCAAAGGATGTACAAGAGCAGAGTAGAACAATGCTACTTGGTTTTTTTTTTTGGTTTTTTTTGTTTTTTTGTTTTTTTTGGTGGGGAGGAGGTGGTACCAGGGATTGAACTCGGGAGCACTGGATCACAAAGGCACATCCCTAACCCTATTTTGTATTTTATTTAGAGACAAGGTCTCATTGATCTGCTTAGCGCCTGGCTTTTTGTTGAGCCTGGCTTGACTTGCCTGCCTAAGCCTCCAGAGCCACTGGGATTACAGGCGTGTGCCACCGTGCCCTGCTCAAGTGCCACTTTTGACCAAATAACTTTTCTTTTCTATAAAGTAAAGAAAGACACCATGGAGCATTTCCTGTAGCAGATCTTTCCTCTGTAAAATAGAATGAATGGGATCTCATGGGAGAAGATAATGACTAGGAAGTTGTGCGATTTTGGTTAAAAGAATAATGAAACCGTACATCTGAGATGCATGATGTGCCAGAGCCAGGAGATTCTCAGAAGAGCATCATTTGAATTCCTGGAGAGAAAGGGCATAGGAGGGATGCCTGACAGAGAACAGCCTCTCCCAAGGTGACAAACATCCAAGGCTCAACCCTTTCATCTATTTTAAAATCCCTGGGTGGAATATGCCAAGATGAGACATGGTGATTAAATCTGTTTCCAAACTGATGTAAGTGCCAGGCTTAACTCTGATACTTGCTCATGCCTATGGATTTTGAAATGAATAATATGCTTGAGTCCTGTGTGTGTGTCATCCTGGACAAGGCTATTCTCTGACACCAGATCTCTTCTATGGTCTTTCTCTTTACTAATGTTTTATGTTTCTCATAGGCTAGGATTATGAAACAAATGTGTGACGTCTTAATTGTATAGTTACTGGTGGATAGAGATGCTTCTTAAGGTGGAAAAAATTAGAACTAAGAAAATAATTTCTGCCTCAAATTATAATATTGTGGTATTAGGATAAACCACTTAAAATATAAATTTGACTATCTTTAACATGATATGTAAAAATAACCCAAATCAAACAGCTTCAAGTAAGTAGCTGACAAAAGGTAAATTACTATTAAATCAACTATAAAATAATATAATACCAGCTAATCATTATTATCAAGCTATTTTAATATAAAATTCAAACAAAGTTGTGTCTAGAGACAGTTTTTTATGAAGACCTTGGTAAACAACTTTTAATTTAATAGGAAATGCTTTAGTTCATAAAGTCCCCAGTATAATTGACTGTTCTTTTGGAAGATCATTGCTCATTATTCAATCTCTCTTTGGCCATCATGTTACTAGTTGGGCACATGACCAAATAAGGACTATTTTCCCAGCCAGGCTTTTAGCTAGAAGAGGTTAGATAACTAAATTCAGACTAATGGGCTAAAAGGAAAAGGGAGATAGGATACTGTGGTGGGTGTCCTGAAAGAAAGGGAATGTGCTCATCTTCTCCCCTTCTACTCTCATGATAGGGATATGGGCATGGTGCTGAGCCAATCTTGGACCACGGTGGCTAACCATTATGGACCAATGGTAAAATATGTGGATGAAAGAAGACTGGATTATTGGATGATCTCATGCAATAGCCTCTGCATTAGTCCTATAATGTCTACCTCCAAACTGTTCCACAAAGAATAAAATTTGTTACATGAAGCTAAATCCACATCTTAAATAATTTAGTGCCGAAGTCTGGCTGGGCACAAGATCATGAGCCACTCACACCTTGTAGATTTAAACAGCAATTCTTTATTCCCGAACTCACATGGGCCCTGTACAAACACGTTCTGGGGAAATCCCAGTTCTGCCGCCCAATTCACGTCCCAAATACTTTCTCAATTCCAGGAGAACTCAATGGGAACTCAGGCAGCAGGATACGCCCTATTCCCAGCAGGAATGACCTTAAACCTGGAACTGCCCTAAACCCAGATTGTCTTAAACTGGGAACACCCTAAACCCAAATTGTCTTAAACCGGGAACGCCCTAAACCCAAATTATCCTAAACCAGGATACTTCCTAAAACCTGCAGGATTCACCCTAAACGTGAATCCACCCTCGTCCTTGAGCAGGGTCACCTTTCTCAAACACACATGCAAGGTCACAGCGAATTTCCAAGGCAAGTCCATTTAACATGGGGTACGCTGGCAAGGAAATTTCGATGCGTCCTTCCTCCTTGGCAATGGCCCTCAGCATCTCCCCCCTTCTGATTAATTAAACAACAAGCAATGTGGCTTAAGGACCGTGCCTGGTAGGTTGTCCAATTCAACATATGGTTCTTACCTGTCATGGGAAAAACTGACCTCTAGCTTTGTCTCAATCTGCCATGTACAAATACCTTTTTTCTTCTTTCTTCCTTTCTCAAGCTTTTAAAGTAAGTTTAGTTTCCTCAAAATCTTTTTAAATGGCATTTTATAACTTTTTACTTTACCATACAGAGATTGAGATTATCTCATCTAGAAACATTTTTCTTTCCTTTAACTTTTTATATTAAAATATATTTCCACATCTTGAATATTTTTATCTCTTTTTAACTGTTAACCCTTTTTATAAATTCACATTCTGAAACAACTCTTATAAAATTTCTGATTTAGACAAATTACTCCACTTTAATAAGATGAAATACTTTCATGTTTCATGTTTTCTAAGGTACTATAATACTGTAATTGAAACCCAACTGAAACTTCTTATACTCTTTGTATATAAATTACACATGATAGAATCTTAACACTTAGTAACCTTGTTTCAGCAAAGACACAGACCAAAGCAATATTAAACTTTTTTCCATTTACCAATTTATGAAAACACACATAATGTTTAAATATATTACCTTATGGAACTTAATAAGTAAAGAGTACTTGATTTCATATTTAGTGGTTGATATTTAAGGCTTTAGCTTTGTAAATTAATCAGATGTCTGTAAAAACCAAGATCTTAGACAAGTATAGTAAACAGAACTAGCCATCTCTTTCTTGTTGAAGAAAAATCCTTCTACAGGATACCATGATGGTTCCATGGATATACTTAATAACTCGTCTTTAAAAAGCCATGGGCTACATTTTTGTACTGCATCAACATATGCCCTTATTGTTCTTGGTCTTACTGGGGTGCCTCCTTCCTCTAACAATTTCTCTTCCTCGGAGGTGAACAACTTCAAACATTGAGCCAACCATTTTCCCCAGTTTGCCTGAGAAAGTTCTAAGAACAGGCAACTTGAAATAAAAACAAAATAAATCAAAACAAGAACACATTGTTTTTTGAAATGGTCACTCATTTTTTTGCTCTCCTTCAGGAGCGAGCAAATTCACTTATGCTTCAGACATTCCGCATACGGACCACCAAATGCTGCAGTCTGGGCTGGGCACTGAATCACGAGCCACCACACACCTTGAAGATTCAAACAGCAATTCTTTATTCCCGAACTCACACCGGCTTCTACAAACACGTTCTGGGGAAATCCAAGTTCTGCCACCCAATTCACGTCCCAAATACTTTCTGAATCCCACGAGAACTCAAGGGGAACTCAAGGATTGGGCGTGCCTGAGGCAGCAGGATATGCCCTATTCCTAGCAGGAATAACCTTAAACCTGGAACCGCCTTAAACCTGGAACCGCCTTAAACCTGGAACCACCTTAAACCCGGATTGTCTTAAACCGGGAACACCCTAAACCCAAATTATCCTAAACCGGGATACTTCCTAAAACCTGCAGGATACACCCTAAACCTGGATCCACCCTCGTCCTTGAGCAGGGTCACCTTTTTCAAACACACATGCAATGTCACAGCGATGCGTCATTCCTACTTGGCAATGGCCCTCAGCAAATTGTGGTAGTGCTGGCATATCTTTGCTGATGGTGTCACCAGTGATGCAATTTTTCTAAAGGAGCCGTCAATTGGCTTGGTGTCGTGGCATTTCTGTATCCTCCTCCCTTCTACTAGTGATGGTCTAAAATTTGGGGGCCAACAGAGGTGAGGCAAAGAACCTCACCCCCCCACTGGCACCAAGGCTAAATTTGGGGGCCAACAGAGGTGAGGCAAGAACCTCACGCCCCCACTGGTGCATAGG